TGTTGGCTCAGCACAACTTCTTAAGAGGCTACCTCATATCTCCTTAACTCTGCTGGGCAAGACTATCTCACCAGTTTCGTTTGCTAAGGATCTCGGGGTATATGTTGATCAATATCTTAACTATGATGTGCATATTACTAAAACAGCCTCTAGTTGCATGAACCAGTTAGTACAGATAAGAAGATTTGAGCACCTTTTAGATAAGAAAACACTTTTATTAATTATAAATAGCTTTGTTTTTAGTAAATTATTTTATTGTTCCTCAGTGTGGGGGAACACATCTAAGCGAAATCTACACAAACTACAGTTGGTAAAAAATTTTGCTGCCAGAGTTGTATTAGGTTTAAGGAAATTTGACCATCTCTCTCAGGGGCGGAGATCTCTTAGATGGTTAGATGTTACAGAAAAAATTTTATTTAATGATTTAGTTTTAGCATAATACGGTGTAAACGGTTTAGCTCCAGACTATTTACGTAAATATTTTGTTAAGCGTTCAGCAGTTCATAATAGGAACACAAGGGGACGTAATGATTTTGTGATCCCCCGATGTAGATTGTCGACGGGACAAAGGGCATATTATTTTCGCGGCCCACGGGAATGGAATGGTCTACCTGACAACATTAGGAATACTAAAGATATTGATATTTTTAAGCGGAAACTTTTTAACAGTATGTTCTATATGTAGTAAATTTGGATATACTTTGAATGATTTTAAATACATTTGATTTTAATTAAATTACAGCAAATAAGTTAGTTAACATTGTGACCGAAAAGCCCTGTTGAAGGGAGTCTCAATAAAGTATGTATGTATGTATGCCTGCGGTCGCTGTACCCAAATTGCATTTAAATTAGTTTTCAAATGTCGCGAATCATTCTGAACTTTCAGAAGAATATTCCGTATGCAAATCTTACAAAAAAATTAATTTAATGATACTTTCCCTTACCATCGACATACAGCAAGAAGAAGAAGAATCAAAAGAAAAATAAATCTGGGAATCGTCTATTTAACAAATAGAGAAGCCTTGACTCTGCTCTGTTCTGTAGGAAAGCATGAAGGAGCGGCTAGAGCACGAAAGAAATGTAGAGCACTTCTTGAGTGCTCTAGCCGCTTTCTAAGTGATTTACTACAGAACAGAGCACAGCCAAGGTTTCTCTATTAGTTTTATAATAAGGACTCCCTTAAATTCCCCACTCATTACTTGCAGTTTTCAAATAAACTTTATTTTCAAAGCGAACGACAGTGTCGTCAGCATACTCTATACACTGACAGAGCACGCTTACAATGAGCCAATCAGAATCCTTGTTAGAATGGACAACCTAATTTGATTGGATGAACAAGACCAAAGCTGTCAAAATGTCAAACCATCAAAAGATATCACAAAGAATCGCAAATCTTACTTAATAATTCGAATGCATAAAAGTGTACTTTTTGCATTCAAAAACCAGTACCTTTAGTAACACGAAATATTCTTAAAACATCTAAAAAAAAAGAGTAGCGAACATCATTTCAGGACTGTACCTGACAAAAAAGCTCCCTTTCCAAAACGTCTCGGGAAAAGAGGAGTGTATGTTGTTAATTGCGATCAATCTTCTTCACAAGTAACTCTAAATGAGTCCTATGAGCTACACCCAAAGTAAATGGCGTATGTGACTGTTATTCGACTTGTTAACTGTCACATCATTTACGGAACATGATTTCCTATTGTGCATTTCAGATAACCCATCGTGCATTTCAGTAGCACTTATATTGACCATGTACTTCAATGATCGGCCATGTTGATGATCAATAAAAGAGTTTAGTATATCAGTGAGCTTAGGGCGAACTTTTTACAAACTTATTGTGTCTCTCAGGAAATAATGTAGTTAAGTATTAGGACTTCTAATCAGTTAGAATCTAAATCTCATTACAAAGTAAATAGCAGGAAAATGATGAAACGAACTGAATCACTTCCCACAAACCCATAAACCGTCTTCTGTTTTGAAACGTCCGTGTTTGCGGAGCTCTTTGTATATTCGCAGCCCTGTTTACTAACTGATAGTCTCGCAAAGGCTGACACATAAATAAAGGGTCGCTCAGAACAAGGCGAAATGCCACTGGAAGAAAAGGGGAACTTAAAACAAACCTTCTAGACCAGTGCCGATATTTCTTGGTTTTGCATTTCATTGGTTTGGTGGGAGCCCCTAATTGCCCTTACCAATCGTAGATGTAGGTGATGCTACAGCGTTGAAATACTTGATAATTTTCGATATCTGACTGATTGAATGGGGACTCGCTAAAGCAGTTTTCCATTGACTGTTGAAAAACCAAAACCAAAGTTGTCATAACGCGCGCACGGATAATCATAACAAAGTGATTCTGGTGTTGTCAACTGAGTCGATAATGTAAATTAGCCACCGTGAAGAGTTTCAAAGCTGACGTTTGGGCGTTAGCCCTTCTTAAGGACGAATGACGAAGGGCTAACGCTCAAAACGTCGGCTTTGAAACTCTCTACGGTAGCCAATTTACTTTATCAACTCAGTTAATGAAACCAAAATTACCTGGTTACTCCCGCCGACGCAGCACAACAGTTTCTTTAGAAAATTATCCCCGTTATTCACAACAAAGGTTTGGATCTTCATTAGCCAATGAGCAGTCAAAGTATAAAAAGGTCAAGAACCAAAATGCGGGAAAACATCCAAATCACGATTGGTTTTCGTTTTGCGTCTGATTGGTTTAGAGTATGGCGGGAGTTTTGTGGACCAATCACAGACCGAATTAATGCAAAGCCAAAGTAAAGCTAGATTACTTTCGACACTCAGTTAATAATTGCTCTATCTAGACCAATCACCAATCAATCAAGTAAGACTAAACCAATCCAAACCCGGATTACTTTTGACACTTGTTCAAGATTTCTCCCATGGCATAATAATAACTGGTGAATTTGAAGAGTTTTAAAACAGAAATTTTTTGCTATACTGACAATGGATGAGCAGCTTCTTGTCGTTCTCGATTGTCCGACATCGACTTGTTGTTGAAAGTTTTTGAAAATGTTTTAATCTCTTAATGCGTCAATAAAATCAAATGTCCAACATCCACTGCCGGGCATTTGAGCTTTTGAGAACAGTTGTGTTCAAATTCCCATTCCCCGTGGCCAAAATTATCTTCAAACGCCCCACCTAAGTGTCGGATTTGATCGTCAAATTTTTTTGCACAAGGTAAGATCAGCAACCATTACTGTCTTGAGGACCTTTTCTTCTGAGCCATCTGCTCGGGATAGCGAACTTTTTACTTTAAAACACCTCCATATTAAAAGATAAAACACGGTTATTCCGCTGGAGGGACTTGAAAGTCCCGGTTCAAATTCTACATCCCACCTGGGTAAGGTTTAAATTTCCCACCCTAGGAAATGGACGATAATCAAGTCTCCTTGGGTTGCCCCATAGGAGGGAGAGATGTTGAGGTATGCACCGCTACTTCACAGGTCTTTTTCTTAGTGACCATAGCAGACTTGTAGTTGCGAAATCTAACCCTAAAGTCATTTGTTGTGGAACCAATGTATTGTAGGCGACATTTCTTGCACGAAGCCAAATAAATTATGTTCTTAGAATCACAGGAAAGTTTCGATCGTATCTTGTAACTTTTGCCTGTTTGAAAACTTAGAAAGGAATTAGATTCAACCAAGAAGTTGCGACAAAGATCGCATCTTGTTCTATTACATTTAAAACATCCCTTGACCTCGGCAACCCCTTCGCTTTCAGTGTTAGGGCCATAACGGGATGGCGCCAACAATTCTTTAAGGTTTTTAGATCTGCGGAAGGATGCTATGATGGAATTTGAAGGAAAAAGCTCTTTTAACTTGGGATTGGATTCCAAAATACCCAGATGTTTTTTAATGATGCGACTTACATCAGGTAAATTTGGATTAAATGTGGTCACAAATGGGAATAATTTCCTCTTAGATCTGGCCTGAGTCCTAAGTAGATCACTTCTAGGTATGGTAGAGGCCTTACGAAACTGGTCGTCCACTAATTTGGAAGGGTAACCCTGAGTAACCAGATAACCCTTGTATTCGGTTATTCTCT